GCAACACTTTAACAGCATCATCTTTTAGGATTTGAAGTAGCTCAACTGGAAATCCATCACCTCCACTACAGTCCATGGTGTCGCAAAAGTCGGGCATGACTGAATGACTTAGCATGCATGCATCATGATATCCCTCCTTGAAGGGAAGGCAGCTTCTTAAATATATTAAGGAAAACCCTGCTTCGACACAACATATTCTTTGGTGTCACTCTTAGAGACAATGAAGCATGAGTCTGCCTGCTGTGGAGTGGCATTTTATATATATATATACATATATATATAGTTCTTATATATAACTATAGGCCCAGGCTATGCAACCATCACAAGACTGTTGACATCAGGTAAAGAAAATTTCACACTACTAATTGCCCATTCCCCTTGGTTCCCATAACACTTTGTTTCACCACTATTTAGAACTTCTCATGGTTGTATTCTGGTAATTGGGTAAGGTATCTGCATCCCCTAAAGAGACTGTGAAATTCTTGAGGGCCAGGATTGTGACTTATTAATTTTTTATTTCTAGAGTCTTCCCTGTTGCCTAGCACGTAGAAGTACTCAATATATGTTTGTAAAGTAGTGACGGTATTGTTGCTAACCTCTGCAAAAGTGACTGCAAAGAACAATTCTAGTTGGCTAGAATCTATACAGAGAATGGCAAACTCCTGGGAATTCCCTGGTGGTCTGGTGGTTAGGACTCGGTGCTTTCACTGCCATGGCCCGGTTTCAATCGCTGTCCAGAGAACTAAGATCTTGCAAGCCACATGGTGCAGCCAAAACAAACAAACAAAAAGGCAAGCTGTTTATCACCTCTGCTCCTTCAGTGAATACAGAGCATTGATTCTCAAGTGTGGACCCTCAGACCAGTACCATCTAACAGGTCCCCAGGTGACCTGTTAGAAATGTAAGTCTCTGGGCCACTCACCTTCTGAGGACCCACACTCTGCCTATGGAATGTGCCCTCTACTTTACTATGCCTCACTTTATTTTTATTTTATTTATTTATTTATTTTATGCCTCACTTTAGTATGGCTTGCTCTTGAATTCTTTCCTGTGCCGATCCAAGGACCCTCACTTGACAGCCTGTCCCCAGGAATTTGACTAAGACCTGGGACATGACCATCCTCTTGCCCCATTTTCCTGCAACCTCTTTACAAAGTATATTAATAAATCTACTTCTTGTGTGTATGTGCATGCTCAGTCATCTCCAACTCTTGGCAACCCCATGGACTGCAGCTCACCATGATCCTAGGTCCATGGAATTTTCCAGGCAAGAATACTGGAGTGGGTTGCCATTTTCTTCTCTGGGGGATCATTCCGATCCAGGGATCAAACCTGTAGCTCTTGCGACTCCTGCATTGGTAGGTGGATTCTTTACCACTAGTGCTACCTGAGAACTAAATCGACCTCTTACCTATCAAAAAAATGCAAATCTCTGGACATACCGCAGACCTACAGAATCAGAAACCTTGGGGGCAGAGGCCCAGAAATTGGTATTTTAACAAGCTTTCCAGGTGATTCTGATGCACAGTGATGTTTGAGAACCCAAAGGGGAAAGTTCAATGGTGCCTAAGTCCTTATCCTGGTTTAGCTTAGCAGCTATATACCTAGCCAAGGGAGAATCCATAAATACCTCAAAACTCAGTCTTTAAAGGGTATAAAAAGGGAGCTGAAATGATGATTGAGGACCCTTCTAGCCTAAAATTCTGAGAAAAGGCAGAAAGTAAATAAATGTTCCAATGACCAGATGCATTTATTCAATCAGCAAATATTTATGTACCAGGCAGTGCTCTGAGCATGGAATCAGTGTATGACACAAATTTACTCCTTTGTAATTAAAATTTTAATTTTTAATTAAAATTGTTCAGACCACAACCTTGGAACTATCTTCTGTCTGTAAGATTCTTATACTGCATCTGCCATGCAATGTGAACTGGAAAACCGAGAAATGACCCAGAAGAGTTCTGGCCACCTTCTCCCCTAAATTACTTTGACTTAAATTCTTGAAAGCTTCTGTGTTTGTTTAAGAGCCTTCAGTACCAGTGTGTTAGAAGACAAGAGAGTGATAATAAATGTGAGTATCAAAATAGACTATCTCTGGATCTGTGTTACTTACGTCACAAAGTTCCTTGCTCTTTGAGGAAACTGAATCCATCTAATTCTGTCTCCTCATCGATTCTCTCTTCTAGGCAGTGAGTCTAGTTTGAGTAGGTTCTCCCCACCACACAAACTCAGAGCACTTAGTGGGTTTTTGTAAGGTGTTTTAGACTATTTAGAATATTTAGTCAGTTTAAATATCCTTTTAAAAAAGGACCTTTAAAAAAGAAAAAAGGACCTTTTAAGAAAAACCAAACCAGAAGTCACCACGCTGGGATACCATTGATTCTCTGCCCAGCTCACATTTCACTGCATTTGGAAGGACAGGAGATGGCGCCAGAAAGCCATTTTGGTTTCCAGTGGGGTTTTCACCAAGCTCATAGTGGGCAAAGGGCTAGAGAGGGAGACATAGGAATTGAAACAAAACCGCCAGAGTTTGAGTAGCAACTAAGGTGGGGGGAGGTGAGGTGGGGAGAGTTTTTTGTTTGTTTTTTTTAACATATAATGGTCCTCTTGACACTACTCCGACTCAGCCATGTGACAAAAGAAATATCCACAGTAAAGTCAAAGATAAAAAATAAAGACAATGCCAATAAAAATTTTAAAAATAAATAAATACAGGCAACCCCCTGAAGTTTGCCGCCTTTCCCCTCTTTCTTACATACCAGGGCCTTTGTCCATTGGGGAAACACAAGGGCCGGGAGGGGCTGCTCACTCCCAAGTGGGAAGGTGCTGATTTGAGGCTGAGACACCTCTGTGAAACGGTATCCACTTGTATAGGCAAAATCCCAAAGCCCACCAGCAGTGAAACACTTTCGAGAAGGAATCGCATGCAAAACATTTTGAACTAGAACTTTAAAAGCTTAAAAAATTCATAGACAACCAGGAGGTGGCGCCTGACAAGACACTTGATCTATCTTGGGAGGCTGCATCGCAGCCCCGACACTCCAGGGAACTTTGTCCTGGCAGAGGTCATTCTGTCCAGGCCTCTTCTTTCCTACCTTGCAAAAGAGGTCTCTGTTTGCTTTCTTTTTTCTGTTCCTCTGTGTTAAAGGTCCTGACTCCCAGGAAGTCTCATTTACACTTTAAGCCTTTTCTTCTTCTTAGATGGGATGAGAGGGGTTTGGGGGGAACCTCAAAACATACAATTTTTCTGGAACGGAAAAATAATTTGAAGGGTGATGAAAGAATTAAAAAGGATATGGCATCTGCAAAATGGCTTTGCTTTGCAGATCAATCACAGTGGACAGAAAAGCACCCAGGCTCCTGTTTCAGCAGGGACTGATGATGTAGCATATGCATTATTTGTGTTCACTGGGCTTTTATCCGGCCCCCTTATTTAGCTTCTGCTCCCTTTGTTTTGACTAGTTATTGCTATGGGGCAGGAGCAAGGAGGGCAGAGGGAGCTCACATGGGTGCCTCCTCCAGGCTGAGATTCTGGAGGAAAGGCCAGTGTCTGGCCTGAGGTTATCTGTGGGTCTCACCGTCCATAATGAGGGATTTAGAATGTACATTCCAATCAGGATTTCCAGTCCCATGGGGGAACAAGCACCAGCCTGCATTCCTGAGATTCAACGGCCTCTCTGCTCCACTTGCCCAGGTCTCCGGGGGCAGGTCTCACTCAGTCCCCCAAGTCCTGCCCCAGCCTTCGGATGGGCGGGTGGGAAGACCCTGGGCCCCTCTCCCACTCCAATGTGGTCACATGGTCTCTCTCGGCTCCCTCCACTCTCGGAGCCTGGAGTCCACCTTTTTTTTCTTTTTTTTTTGGTGGTAGTGATTGTTTCTAAGGTCTCCCCGCCTCTCCTCCTGCCCTGGCCACCGTGCCCGGGGTCTGTGTCCTCTTCGGTGACAAAAGCCGCCCTAGATCTGGGCTCCCTGGGGAGGGAGGTGGCTGGGTCTGGCAGTTGCAGCCGCTGTCTCTTCATGGTGCTGCTGCAGCCCCTCCCCCGCTGGGCACACAAATGGGCTTTATCCAGCAAACAAAACCACCCCCCACCCAGGCCACAAAGGCACGTGGACCCAGCCTCACCGTGGGAAGGGGGTGGCGACAGGCGCAGGAGAAAGCGCGCTCCAAACGAGCTCTCCTCTCCCACCTCACTTCTCTTCCTCACTCTCCACAACCCAGGTTTCAGTCCTTGGCTTCCTGCCCTCCAGCTGCACCCGGAGTCCCCCACTCCCTTTAACTCCGCACTCTTCCTATCCCAGGGCACCTCGCATTCTGCAGGGGTTTGGGCACGGGTCCTCCCGCCCTCTGCCCCACACCCAGGGAGTGGCCCCTCAGAGGAGAAGCCAAAGTCCCTTGGAGGAGGACTGGATGGGACCCCAAAGGATCGGACCCCCAAACCCTCCGTTCCTGCTCCTGCCCGTTCCCAGGGACACCTTTCTCCACAGTGTCTGTGTGGACAGCAGAGGAAGGAAGAGCTCACCCCAGCTGGGTTCCTGAGCCGGGGCCAGGGCTCCCGTTTTCACAGCCGCGCTCTACTCAGAGCAGGGCCATCCTGCATGCTTAATCGGCTATTTAAGGAGCTGTTCGCCAGCAACCCAGGCAGCCCCCCCTCCCCACGTACACCCGTCCAGAGCCACCTTAAAAGCAGGAGGCAATTGGAAGTAGCTGGCCAGCAAGTGAAGACTGCAAAGAGGTAAAAAGAGAGGGCAGAGAGAGAAGCAGCGATTTATCCTGGGACCAGAAACTCACGGTACCCCCACTGAAAACCAAATCCCCTGGAAGCCCGCAGAGACACAAAGACAGCAAGAGAGAAAGACAAATACATTCAACTCCAGGAAACTCCTGTCCTCCCCCCCAACCCTCTCTCTCTCTCTCTCTCCCCCTCCCCTCCCCGCTCTCTCCCTGCCCTAGTCCTCTAGTCCCCAGACCCCCAGTACCTCGAACTCCTTCCGGGCACACCATGTTGTTCTTCACCCTCCTGCTAGAGGTGATTTGGATCCTGACTGCCAACGGGGGTAGGTACATCTGGGTGTCTATGTGTCTGTCTCTGCTGATGTACACAAGTTGCCTTGCATGTTTAATGGAGGAGTGTAAAAGGAAGCCTGGGGGCCTAGACTAATAGGCTCAGGCTCAGGGATGGAGGGAAAGAGAGAAGACTCGGGAGGAGACCACTGTCCTTCTTTGCCCTTTGCTTTTCCAGCCTTGTTGTGGGTGGGGATGGGGGCAGACTAGCCCGGGGCAGGATATGTACACACGCCTCCCGAAGAATCAATTTGCAGGCTACAAAGTCTCTTCCCAGCTCTTTCTCCACTGCCCTAGTCCCAGTCTACCCTCCTGGCCTTCTTTATTTACAAACTCATCCAATTAGGGAGCCAAAGAAGCCTGGAGTGCAAGGATAGAGGACTCATGGAGCGGGTGGTCAGGGGAATATTCCTACAGCTCCTGGCAAACTCAGACCTCACCCCTGACTACGAACCTCATGGCCTTTCTAGGTGCGTGTGTGCTAAGTCACTTTAGTCGGGTCTGACTCTTTGCGACCCTATGGACTGTAGCCCACCAGGCTCCTCTGTCCATGGGATTCTCCAGGCAAGAGTACTGGAGTGGTCTCCGTTCCATGGGGCGACCGATTTCCTGGTTTTTCCTGAAAGCAGTAGCAATAATAGTCCATATTGTTAGTCCCTTTACAATTTACAAAGGACTTTCAGGAGCTCCCAGGAGAGGAGGAGGGACTCTTGGGGGAATGGCTGAGGTGTTCCAGGAATGTCCCCGGACCCTTACCGCTCATTTCTGTGATCCCTGTGTCTAGTGCAGCATCCAGCACACAGCAGATGTGGAATTAAGATGTGCTGGAAGAACAGGGTTGGGAGGTGTCTAAAGGGCAGAAGGAAAATGCAAAGAAGATGACTGGGCGGAGGGGCACCTAGTCAAGGAGAGCTACGAATTCTACCTGAGGAGAAAGGAAAAAAAAAAATCAGGAAAGGGGAGGAAGAGATGCAAGACCAGTGTGTGAGAATTTGGCGGGAGGGAAAGGGCAAGGCTGTTAGCCTGCCCGGAACCAGGGAGTTTGAGTTGTCGAGGTGTCCCACTGAGATGGTGAGTGCAAGGCTGCCTCCAGCCATCCCCTGGGTTGCTTTTCAGAATTGTGTGAACTGAGGGATGAGCCAGTCGAAGAGCCCAGTGATGAGATCAAGGATATCTTAGCAGTCTAAGGGATTTATTTAAGGGAATAAGAGAGCGGAGGTTGCAGGGGGCAGAGGGTGGAGATTTAGAATTTTTCTCCAAAGTTTCTAGCGATATGAAAAATGCAGAGACAACCTGCAGGAAGGCCTCCTTTTCCCCTTGAAGCAGGTTGGCCCTGGGTGAGGCCTGGACCAGCAGACCCCAGACCTTCCATCCAGGAGACAGGACTGCATGTGACCTGGCATGTGACCCAGCTGGCAGCTCTCATTTCCACACACAATGCTTTACTTTCATCCTGTCCCCGCCAGCCTGCCTGCCTGTGCCTACCCATCACCCTCCACGTAGCGTAGACCCTGCCTGACTCCCGCCTCTCCTAGTCATCTGCGAACCTAAGGAGCAGAGGCTCCTGGTGATGGGGAAAGCTTGCTTTAGAGTTACTGGGACAAGAAGGAGCAACGTAAATGTTCATTTACAGCTCAGTGCCTGGGTTTGTACATTTACAAAGCTCAGTGCCTGGGCTTGTACAAAGCTTCAAAGCAAAGGAATCATCGCCTGCTCCTCTCAGCAACATGGCCCCCAACTCTGAACTTCCTGCCCCTCCCCTTGCTACAGTCCCCTTCCTCCAAACCCTCTGCCTACACCCTCACCTCAGCCCAAGTGTTAGACTGGCTTGGCACAGGCTACAGAAAAGTGAGGGTTGGGCATTTTGCACACTTGGATCCAGGTTAATTTTAGTCTCCTGGCTTTATCTCTTTTCAATTCTCCTCCCCCTTTACTCAGCCAGCACAAGCACAGCCTGGCTGGAGATTTTAAATAGACCCCCGACCTTTCCACTGCGGTGTCCAATTTCAGGGCTTCCTTTGGGAAGTGCTGGAAGGAGGGAGGAGAAAGGGAGGGGGCGAGTGGAGGAGCTCCTTGCCTCAGGCTGTGCTAGCTGTAACTCAAGTTACTCTGCCTTGCAGGTCAACACTGGACGTATGAGGGTGAGAGCAGAACCCCAGGCCTACGACACCCCTTCCTCACTGGGACCTCTTCACCTGGCGGGAAGACTTACGCCACGTGGGTGGGGAGGTTTCCTTTAGCTTTTCATCCTAGCTCCTCCCTTCCCCAACTCCCCATGCCCCAGCTTTCGCCGAGATTGATTCTTAGACCCTGTTCTAAGCATCAAATTCCACACCCCCTGATTCAGCAGAAAAGCCAGTTATGTCCTCAATCAATCTCTGTGGGAGTGAGGGAGCTGGAGTGGAGAGGGAAGCAGGTGGGGGAAGATGCCATGAGCTTAGCTGCCAGTTCTCCTCCTTGCTCTTTCTATCCTGATCACTCCTACCCCCACCTGAATCTGGAACTGGGACAGAACCTGAGGTCAGGGGTGAGGGAGAGGCCAGCAGGACAGTGTGTGACCCTGGCAGAGGTCTTTTCAACTTAACCAAGCCCCTAAGTCAATGCAAGTTCCAGTGTGAAAGCAAGGAGTCAATGATGGGAAGTCAGCAGGTCTGAATCTTAAGGCCACTTGATAGGGGTTCCCCAGAGACCCTACCTCTCTAGAATAATTTTCCCAGTTTTCCTGCTGCTACTCAAATCCACCTCTGGCTCTGTGGACTTTCTATCCGTCTCCTCTTCCTCTCATTAGCTTTCGTATCCTTCAACAAGAGAAGCAGTAAGTAAAGGCAACTGCTCCCCATTCATCAGGAGAGCAGGGGAATCATCACTGCCCCTGCACAGGCGATGGAAAGGAACTGCGGCAGCAAGTCCAGCAGGGACTCCCCCTCACCCAGCCCCGCATAACTGAGGGCTTCATATGGGGTGGAGGGAAGAGCATGTCTGCCTCCAAGTAGGTAAATGGCTTGGTGGAGGCTTGCTGAAGGGTGGTTGGGGCTGGAGGGTAAGACAAATGTCTGTGATAACCCCACCAGGTCCACATGGTCAAGAACACTGGCCTGCCTCTTTCCCTGAGTGTGGAAGCAACGCCCAGTCCCCCATCAACATCCAGACAGACAGTGTGACTTTTGACCCTGGCTTGCTACCTCTGCAGCCCCGTGGATATGAACAGCCTGGCACTGAGCCTTTGAACCTGCACAATAATGGCCACACAGGTAAAAAGACCTGGCCTCCAAGGAGATGTAAGCTTCAATTCCAATCTTAGGAGTCAGAGGTGAAGAAGCATTCTCCTAACTTCTAAAGTCTCAGAAGGTTTTATCTATAAATTTGGAGACAAGAGAATGGGGATGAGGCTCCTGTAGCCAAAGGTGGTCGAGGGGTGGGTGAGCATCACAGTACTGCCTTGATCTTCACTAGAGAGGCAGTGGCTGGGACTTTCAGCCAGTGGTCCAGTGGTTAAGACTCCAGGCTCCCACTGCAAGGGGCACAGGTTCAATCCCTAGTTGGGGGACCAAGATCCCACATGCCAATGCCCCAGGGTGCCACCAAAAAAAAAGAAAAGCAGTGTCCTATGGGAAGAACAGAGGATGATATGGTTGAATGGCATCACTGACTCCACGGACAAGTACTTGAGCAAACTCCAGGAGATAGTGAAGGACAGGGAAGCCTGGAGTGCTGCAGTCCACAGGGTCTCAAAGAGTTGGACACGACTGAGCGACTGAACAACATGGGAAGAACTGGGTGCTGTGCAGAGAGCCAAAAAAGCCTGGCCAAGTTTCCCAAGAAGTGATGGCAACTGGGGGGGAGGGTAGGAATGCATCCACATTACTCCACCAACCCTAACTACTTGCTCTCTTTCCCTCACAGTACAACTCTCTCTGCCCTCTACCCTTTATCTGGAAGGACTTCCCCGAAAATATGTAGCTGCCCAGCTCCACCTGCACTGGGGTCAGAAAGGAACCCCCTGGGGGTCGGAGCACCTGGTCAATGGCAAAGCCACAGCTGCAGAGGTACCAGGAGCAAGGCTGGGATTAGGACGTAGTGGTAGGCACTGCCAGGGATCTGGAAACTGGAACAGTCACACTTGGGGTGAAAGGGCAAGCTTTGTGGGGCAGATTTATGCATGCGAGAGGTGGTGGCGGTGGCGGCGGCGGCTAGGATGAAAGCCTTTGGGACTGGGTAGTGGAGAAGCATCAAGTGATTCAATTCCCTGTCCTCTCCCTTAGCTCCACATCGTACATTATGATTCTGAGTCCTACGAAAGCCTGAGTGAGGCTGCTCAGAGGCCTCAGGGCCTGGCTGTCTTGGGCATCCTCATTGAGGTCAGTGGCCCCCAATCCCTCTGAGGCCCCCCTCCACTCCCTCTGCATCCCTCAATCCTTTCAGTCCATGTCTGCTGCTGGTCATCCTCCCAAGACAAGTCAGCAACACATTTAGACCGTGTATCCTACACACAAATGTCTGACTTCCAACATGGACTCATCCTGAACACTCTCCCCCTTCTTCCCCATCCAGGTGGGTGAGACTAAGAATCCAGCTTATGAACACATTCTGAGTCACTTGCATGAAATCAAGCACAAAGGTGAGCCCTAAAAATCTATCTTAAGACAAAGTCACATTAGACTTCAGGGAAATTTCTCAAAGCCTGAGAGGCCTGGGATGAGGCAGTGAGTTAGGGACCAAGGGGTTTGCTTCTAGCAGCCCTGTCTAGGTAAGCCAGGGTACAGTGAAAGGGAGATGAGCCCGAGTCTGTCCCTGCCCAGATCAGAAGACCTCTGTGCCTCCCTTCAATGTGAGGGGGCTGCTCCCGCCGCTGCTGGCGCAGTACTTCCGTTACAACGGTTCGCTCACCACTCCGCCCTGCTACCAGAGTGTGCTCTGGACGGTCTTCCATCGAAGGGCCCAGATTTCCATGGAACAGGTGAGCAGTGGAGAGGTGAAGCGGCAGAACTGTAACCTCAAACCCTTCCCCACTCCCCAAAGCAAGGGCTGCTTGTCCCTGAACCCCACGCTTCTGCTTCTCAGCTGGAAAAGCTTCGGGAGACATTGTTCTCCACGGAGGAGGAGCCCTCTGAGCCCCTGGTACAAAACTACCGAGCCCCCCAGCCTCTCAATCAGCGGATGGTCTTTGCTTCTTTCATCCAAGGTGACTGTACAGGGCTTGGAAAAGGGGACGGGAAACTGGGGGATTCAATGGCAGGAACTAGGATGCCTCTCGGAAGGAAAAGAAGGCTAATGGGGAAGGGATTCCCAGGCCTTGCTTGGACTGGGACCCACCATGCCCCTAGGGCTGGCGCAGGGCAGCTTCTAGCTGGGTGGGGATCTGGTCTCGCTGACCCAGGTTTTCTTCCCTTGCAGTGGGACCCTCGTATACCACAGGTAAGACGGTCTTTCCCAGGTATCGAGGTGTGGGGTACAGGGTATGGTGCTCCTCAGCAAGTTAAGGAAAGGCTCAGCATCTATGTCAGTCCTAGGCAGACACCCTCCATCTCTCTCCCAGGTGAAATGCTGAGTTTGGGAGTAGGAATCCTGGTTGGCTGTCTCTGCCTTCTGCTGGCTGTTTATTTCATCGCTAGAAAGATCCGGTGAGGTCCTACTCTCCATCCTTCCAGTCCTTTTTGTCCCGAAAAGCATGCTCCTAGTCCACCTCTAATCTGTTTCACATCGGACACTAGGCATTTCCACGAACCATTCTCCCTTCCAGGAGGAAGAGACTAAGAAACCGGAAAAGTGTGGTCTTCACCTCAGCACGAGCCACCGAGGCATAGACTCCTTCCTGGGCACTCCAGATGCCTTCCGCTTGCTCGGCTGTCAGGGTGCTTGTCAAGTGAGGCGCCGGCACTGGCCAGGAAATACTGCAGGAGTAGGCCAACCCCTTTTTCCTCCAGACAGTCCCTACACAGAAGTATGGACAGGCTCTCATTCAAGGATGACCAACAGAACCTTCAGCCTCTTAGACATGGAGATCAGGACAGCCCTATGGTGACAATGCAGAGGGTCAACTGTGTATAGTTGTCGGGGGATGTGGCCCACAGTCCCCCGTCCCTTTATCTTTATAGCCCTGTCCCTAGATAAAGCTGTAAGATCTCCCCTTAGGAAAAAAGGTTGCTGCTCTTTGTTTTGGGTGTTTTTTTTTTTTTTTTTGCTCAATATATTTGGAAATTAAAGCTGCTGACCCCACATCTGGCTTTACTTCTGGAGCTCCTGCGAATGGGAGTGTTTCTTAATGCCTCAGATGGCAGAGGTGGGCAAACAGAAGCATGGGTGAGTAACTCCTTTTACTCCAATCCTGGAGGAGGGGAGATCCACTTCTGGAAGATGCTTAACCCAGAGTTTCTGACATGAGTTCAGACTCCCTGCCCTTGCATCGAAGCTATCCTTGGAGGGAACCAGAAATTGCCAGGTTAGAAAGGCAGTTGGAAAAGAGCCATGAGAGGGCAGAAACCTCATGAACACTTTATCCCCTCCTTTTAAAGCCAAGTTCCCCCACAATTATAAAGTCCTTTTTATTAGTCAAAATCACAAACACCTCGATTAAAAGGATGGGATACACCACCCTCAGCAGAAAATGATACAGTTTATAGAAAACCTCCCCGCCCCCCACACACCCCAATTAAAAACTAGAAAAAAATCTGCCCTCCTTCCCTGTGATGTCATGGTAGGCTGACTCCTCCAGGAGCACTGCAACTCTGGAGAGGGCCAGCTCCCCACAGCACCCTCCACTTCACCTTGGGGAGAGGAGGGATGCTGGTGGTCAAGGAGGTTAAAACATTAGTTCCAGTAATACCAGTTCCCAAACATGCACTTCCTTCCTTTCCCCCAAAGCCTGGGACCAAGGGGAAAGCTGGACAGGTATAAGCCCAGTCATAAGGAACAAGTTGAGGAGGGAAAATACAGTCCAAGGAGGTTAGGAGAAGAATTCCAACATACCTCCTCCCTCCCCCCAACTCAAAAAAAAAAAAAAAAAAGGCAATTTGGGGTCTTTATCACACCAAAAATAGTTCCCCTCAGACCTGAGAAAAAGACCAAGATGTCCAGTCTGGGGAGGGGGTACTGGGAAACTCAGAGCTCGTCTACCCTTGAACCTCCATTGACTTCATCTCCACGACAATGGCTAAACTAGGTCCCTTTTCTTGGCCACCTGCACTGTCCAGAACTGGAGATGGAGAAATACAGGGCGAGGAGATCAGGAGGGCACCCCAGGCCCAGGGGTCCCCCCCAAGGTTCCCTCAGTCCTCGGGTGGGATGCGCAGGGCAGAATACACCATCACCCGACTGTCCTCCTGCCGTCGGCCTGCAGAGGGGAAGGGGGATGAGTCTTGGGCAGGGTGAGGGCAGAGCACTGACACATGGGGCGTCCTGGACAACAAGGGGAAGGGGGGTCCCCAGATGGTGGGGACAAGTGCAGACTCAAACCCACCAGTCACTGACTGGCTGCACCCAGACTGCTCCTGGTAAAGCCTAGAGACTAAAGGTCACACATGAGAGGACAAAGCAAGACCCTGAAGGTGGTGGAACAGACCGACGAGGAGACAGAGAATGCTGGGCAATGGACCCGGGCTGGGGCTGGGCTCAGTCATGGGCAGTGGGCAGGCAGGTGGGATCTGTCAGGCGATCGGTCCAGGTAGTCAGTCCTTACACGAGAGACTGCGCTGGATACTTCGGAAGGACCCTCCAGCTGTGATGAAGGCCCAGAGCCCCATGGAAACAGTGACTGCATAGATGGGCAGCAGGCTGGCCTCATACCAGGGGTTCAGGAATGTCTGGTGATGGGGGAAGAGTAGAAAAGAAGTTAGATTCTCCCTCTAATCCCTATATTCCCATTGTGCCTTTGACCCAAACTTCCCCAGAAATCTCCCTCAAATCCCTCAGTCCTTCAGAGCACCAGTAAGTATCTTGTGATTTTCAGCTCCCCCAAAGGTTTCTGCTATTCCTGCTCACCTCAGGCCATCTGCATTATGGTTTGATTAATCCATTCAAACTCCTCCCCAGGGAATCCCCAGAGCAGGATATACAATTGATGCTGAGATGAGAGACGTCTCAAGACTCACCTTTCTGCCTCCTCTCATGACAGATTTTTAAACGTTAAGAAGTGAGGATGTATTTCCCCTCCATCCCACTCACCATTAAGTTCTTTTCTCTCTAACTCAGGCCCCTGTCCCCAACTCACCAGTCCCGATGTCAGTAGGTGACTCCCAACCACCAGGCCCAAAGCCCAGTACCGTCTCCTCTCACAGGCATCAAAGAACACAACTCCCCAAAAGGTATGGAGCAGGATAATGGCTGCTGTCAGAAAGGCTGCAGGGGGGGAGATGGGGATGAGATACATCCCTCGTCTTCTCCCAGCCTCCTGAGATGCTGAGCCAAAGAAGTCTCCCAGGGAGGGCCAGTAAATCAGGTCAGGGCTTAGGGACGGATGGGGCAGGAAGGCAAGAAAGAAAGTGGACTTTACCTGAAGTCAAGAAGTAATAGGGTGAGTCTCCGTGGATCCCAACCACACCTGGCCCAAGTGCATCAGCCAAAATATTGATAACAGAGAAGACACCACTGATGATACCGAAGGAAAGACCAGAAACTGGGGGGAGGGAGGGTCTCATCAATGTCAGAGATCACTATAGCCTGACTGCCAGTGATCCCTCCCCATTCCCAGGCACAATTACCCCCCACCTTCTCTCCCTCCAGGCAACCTATCCTTGGAAGTCAGGTGTGAAGAAAAACAAGAAGCCACTTAGGACACGTGGATGTTTAGAGGCTTCCCTGGGAGAGACGAGTGTCCAACTCCCTCCTCCAGTCCCTCTCCCTTGGCTCACCATAGGCCATCTGGCGGATGGAGATGGGTGATCTTCCGTCCTCACTCAGCGATGCTAACCCTTCATCTGCCTTCCTGGGGTGTGGTGGGGTGGGTGGGACAGGGGAAACATGAGGGAGGGCAGGAATCTCCTTTCCCTCTAATGTCTTCCCTTAGTGCTTCCTCGTCCAAACCACCACCCAGGGCTGCCCCATTTATAGTTCAGTCCTCTGCCCTTCTCCCCTCCAGACCATCCCATCTTCTTACTTAAGCAGCTTGTAGTAGGCAAAGCGGAACACCTCCTGTAGAAGGACGGAGACTGCAGCACCAAATATCAGAAGGCCATACTGGAGTCGGGCATCTGACCGATCAGTCACATGGACCAAGATGAACCAGACCACAGAGGCCAGGAGCAGGGAGACCAGCCAGAAAAATGCCCTGAGGAAAGACAAGGGCAATCAGACAAGCCAGAGTAGAAGACATCCTGAGAAATCAAAGAGAGAAACCAATCAAGGCTGCAGCATAAAAAGCGGAAGTTAGACTTCTGGATGGCCAGGGAGACGGGGAGGAGGTAGGATAAGTGTTTCCACCAAGGGAGTTTGTAGGGATCTGAATGCAGGGGAAGGCTTAGAAATCTGATTAAAGGGTCTGCAGAGCTATGAAAGCCAGAGTATAAGGAGCACAAGAGGGCGAGGTATCCATTCCTGGATACTTCCGTAGGGACGAGTGAGGTCAGCACAGCCCCTTCACTAGTCTTGGCCCTGGGCCTCCTCTGACGTCGCCGGGAGGAGTACAGGAGGAATCTGTGCGATCCTTGCAAGGCGGAAACCAACTGCGGGAAAGGGCAAATCACTCAGATCCCTGACTCGACCCTTCCCAATCTTCGCCTCCAACTTGTCTCCCCCTACTCAGGCTTCCCTTGGAGCGTCCCAGGTGGCTCAGTGGTAAAGAACCCGCCTGCTAATGCAGCAGACTCAGGAGACGCGGTTTCCATCCCTGGGTAGGGACGATTTCCTTAAGTAGTATCTTCAGTACGGCAACCCACTCCAGTATTCTCGCCTGGAAAATCTCATGGACAGAAGAGCCTAGCGGGCTACAGTCCATAGGGTCGCAGAAGAATCGGACACCACTGAGCAGGGGCAAGATTCAGGCTGGCCCCAGGTCCTCAAGCTCCTTTCGGATCTCACTCCTCGGCGTCCTTCCGCGTCTCCCCAACCCCCTAACTCACCCGGCGACCAAGATAATGACGCGAAGCGGGTCTCCAGCCACAGTGATCAAGAAAAGCGCAAAGGCCGGGCCAAAAGCGACGAAAGTGCATCCAAAAAACACTGCGGCCCCCATGGCTGGGCAGCTGGGGGCGGGGTGGAGACCCGGCCAAGAGAGGGGAAGGGGAGGAGCACGCCAGCTATGGTGTCCGCGTGGGGTGGCGACGCGACCCCGTGAGGGGCGCGGTGCAATGTCACCCCCGGACCCCCGGGAAAGGCGGGGATACCGAAACCCCAGACACAAGTCCGCGCGACTTCCTCTACGGAAGCCGAGGAGGGAACAAACCCCTTTGCAGCCTCATGGCCACCTCCCATCTAATCCCCACCCCCTGGAGGCCAATGGAGGGAGACTCCGTGGGGGCGGAGCTGCGGGGGTGGGGCGTGGCTTCACGACCTGCTGGGAGTTGTAGTCCAGCTTTCCTTGTCCGGGACCTCGGACTTGGGAGTGGCTCGAGCCGGTTAAAGCAGTGGGCTGGGCCCGGGCCCAGGTTCCTTGGTTCGGTTCGGTTCGGCCCTGGTCGCTGTTTCCTTTCGTTATTTTATGGGGCAGGGTGGTAGCAATCCTACGTTTTCTTGAAGAGCTGCAGAGGGGGAAGATCCTGTTAGAAACTAAAGAACAAATACAAAGAAATCACAGGATAGAGAGTGCCGGAAGATAGGGACGGGTATTGTTCTTACTTGAATGAGAGGAAATGAGCTGGAGATACTGCCTAAGAAATGAAGGTTACACTTAAAAGTAGGTGCTCTTTGAACAGGCTAGTGTAGGAAACACACAATACAGTGTCGTTAATGAAGCTTTCATCTATAATGGCAAGCGAATAAGAAGTAAAAGGAGCCTGGATAGCAATGTTAGGTAGGCTGGAGAGGATTTTGAGTTGGAATTGGAAGTTAAAGCTCTTCGTAAAAAGCAATTATAGCTATGGAGTTGAAGGAAAACTATCCCCCTCCCCCCTCACCACCGAAGTTACTCAGTTCCTTTTATGTCATACTTCCTTTATTTATTTTCTGAAAATTAACATCAGTGGTGTCTTTTCTTCAGACTGGGGGAAGGGAAGGCACAAGGGATGCATTTTAGAAAGAAAGTTAAAGTGTTAGAGGACACTGTAACTTCATTTGGATGGGGGTAAGATTAGTCCTTGGAGAAGGAAATGGCAACCCACTCCAGTATTCTTTTTTTTTCTTTTTCACTCCAGTATTCTTGCCTGGAGAATCCCAGGGACGGGGGAGCCTGGTGGGCTGCCGTCTATGGGGTCGCACAGAGTCGGACACGACTGAAGTGACTTAGCAGCAGCAGGGTTAGTCCTTGGGAGAAGGCAATGGCACCCCACTCCAGTACTCTTGCCTGGAGAATCCCGTGGACGGAGGAGGCTGGTAGGCTGCAGTCCATGGGGTCTCTAAGAGTTGGACACTACTGAGCGACTTAGCAGCAGCAGCAGGGTTAGTCCTTAGGGAGGATGTTTTGGCAAAAGAGTGCCAGGATGGGAAGGTGAGGGAAACTGGAACATCGCTTTTGAGAAAGTTATCAAAGTACCCCCAAAACACTATAAAAATTGTTCAAAGAGAACCAGCCTTCCTTTCCTTCTGGAAATGATTTATGGCAATGCATAGATGTATATCCATAAAAGAGTTTTACATTTTTTCTGGAAAATTCTGGAAAGGAGCTGAAGGGGTAGATTATATAGATTTATATGAGAACGAATGATGCAAATCTGCCCCCAATAAGGTTGAGAGGATGGGAGCATCCTGATCGGTGCTCAAGACTCTATATTGTCTTGCTTCTGAGATAGCAATCCAGAAGAGGTGGGGATAAGACATCATCTCTCCTCTGAGCTCTTATCACAGCATCTTCTGACTTAGGAACAGGCACCAAACCTATCTTGTTCATTAGTGTTTCCACAGACACTTACATGGTGCCTGGCTCATAGTAGATGTTGAACAGATGTTTATTAACTCCCTTTTAAAAAAAACAAACAATTCTTTTCTTATTTCCTTGCCTCTGAACCCTAAATTGCCTATCAGACTAGGCCTAGCACACTGTGCCCAGCAATATGTCACTAAATGTTTCTACACTGGATGGAATGAAAATGGGAACTATAAAAGCAGAGAGGATAAGATGAACTCCACCCCTGTAGGCTAGGAGGAAGCGAACACACCAAAGGACTGAAAGGGGAGCAAAGGTGTAGCATATACCGCAGGGAAAGAGTACCTGCTTCCTCCCTTCTCCCATCCTGTGTGCAGAAACTTGAGAAAGAAGTGAGTTGAGGTCAGTACTTAGCAGAGAGGAAGGAACTAGTCTTGACTGACAAGTTGTTTTGTTTTTTTTTAATGAGAATCAGTGCAGCAGGTGCTTATAGAGTCGGATGGTGATGTTGATACCGCTCCCATACTTGGCAGTCTGAGATAAGCAGAGGGAGGGGACTGTTCTCGCTCTAGAAAAAAATGCTTATCCCTTCCTCAGAATATTTTGACTGTGAAGAAAGAGACTGTGATGAAGCCTCAGGGAGAAGGGCAGTTGAGAGGATAGTCGGTTAGGGACAGTGAGAGGGAGAGGGAGCTTTTTGTGAGGACTGGGAACAAGGAAGGAAAGTAGGGGAGAGGGGAAACTTCAAGGTAAGCTGGGTTTTTTGTTGTTGTTTGGTTTGGTTTTTCGTTTGTGTGTTTTGTTTTTCAGAAAGTGGCAGCAGGTGGCCTGATTGGATCTGGTCTAGGGCCAGGGGGTCTCAGTGAACATGCTCCCATCAAAATTCACTTTGTCTCTCTAATCTGGGCCACTGTGACTGAGGACGGCACCGGTAGTAGCTGATGGCCTAGTCAGGCAGCAAGTGGGCGGAGAAATCTCCCCCCCCCCCCCCAAGAAGAGTTGCTGCTGCTCCTTCGCTGCTTTGGAGGAGGGCAGAAGGCGGGGTAAGTTTGGTGGGAAACTGTGTAATTTCCTTTTTGCAAGGCACTAGAGCAGAATCCAGAATGGATGTCCTCTTTGTAGCCATTCTTGCTGTGCCGCTCATCCTGGGTAAGTTCGCGTCTCTCCCCGGGCTTCTGAGCCAGGTCTTCTAGCCATAAATGGGGAGAAACGCAAATGAGGAGAGGGCCGGAGGTGCGGTTCAGTAAAGAGGGACAACACTCTCCCATCGGTGTTAGATGGCAGGGGCAGAGGGAGGACCTGGAAGTTAGAGACAGGAAACGGGGAGGAGAGCAGAGTCCTGTCAGAGAAGAGGCAGCCGGTGAGGATGGAGCCCCAGACATGGGGAGGTCCTAACAAGAGTGAGCTCAGCTCGCCATCATCAGAGTTGAGTGAGATAAGGACTCAAGTGACAGGGGACTGAGGCAGGCTCCTTGAAGGTGGAGCAGTCTGAAACTATCTAGGGAAGCCAGGGTATCTTCTTTCCCAGAGAACTGGAGAAAAAGCCATGCATTAGTAAAGACCCAGGAGGGTGACCTCTGGAATACTGAGCACTGGCTGCCTCCAGTGACAGGTCCCAGAAGCAGCCGGGCTTCTTCCCTCCTTTGTTTGCAGCCTTCCAGGTGCTCTCATTGTTTCCTTTTCCTCCAGACTGTTATGTCACTGCTTGGGGTCGAGAGAGCGCATGCAAGGAGTTTAGAAAACGATTAAGCAGGCGGCCTAGAATTCCTGACCCAGTCATGTCAAAGCCACATATTTTTAATCCTGGGGAGGAAGAAAAACTAATGCAGATGGATCATTTAGTCCTTCTGACTCATCTGAAGAAAGCGGTGTTAACTGTGTTGTTCAGAGATATCCCGCTAGTTAGCATTGAAAGGAGAACTAAAGCCCAAGTCCAAAAGCCTAAGGCCAGGTGTATTAGTTAATTGTGAGCGACACTGGTAGAGGAGATCTCTCACAAATACAGTAAGTCTGGAGCATAATACCGAGGAGTAGATTTGGAGGTCTTAATTTCTGGTGTCTCCCTGCTTCCTATGTTTTTAAGGCTTAGTTTGGGTTCCAGTATGTGAAGGGGATTTTCACATTTTCAGTTCTGGGGATTCCCAGATGAAAGGGCAGAGAGTAACAGGCCTTGTCAGCATTAAGGAGTCCAGAAGACAGAGAAGGGTTTAGAGGTACAGAGGCAGGGAGATAATAGAGGGGAGGCAGAAACAAAGAATACTGATAGAGCTGAGGTCAACATCTGGTGTCCTTGTATTGCTAAGGCTTTCCAGATGCCCCTTGACCTCTAGTTCTTGTCCTAGGACAAGAATATGAGGATGGAGAAGAACTGGAAGAGGATGAGTATTACCAGGTGATCTATTATTACACAATCACCCCCAGCTACGGTGAGTACATAGAAGGTTCTCATCCTTCACAGGCTGGAGAGAGGTTTGGGAGCTCCTCAGTTCTGAGACTCTGACTTTTCCTTCTGCAATGGTGTAACTAGATCAGATAGAAATTTGGCTCTGAGCAAAAGCCATCAAACTCATGATGTTATTTCTCAAACTAGTGATCCTTTAGAAACTGGTGGAAATAACTTGAAAAATTTCAAATCTGTGCATGATTTTAGATATCAAGTTGAAAATATAAATGCATACACATTCACAAACATTTTTAACATTAGAGTTTGTTGTGTGCATGTGCTTAGTCGCTCAGTCATGTCTGACTCTTTGCGACTCCATGGACTTTAGCCCATCGGGCTCCTCTGTCCATGGAATTTTCCAGGCAAGAATACTAGACCTGGTTGCCATTTCCTACTCCAGGGTCCCTGTCCCAGGGATCGAACCCAAGTCTCCTGCATCCCCAGCACTGGCAGGTGGATTCTTTACCACTATGCCATCTGAGAAGCCCTTAAAGTTTGTGGAATTATACTATACCAGTTAATTTTATAACTTGAGCAAACTGAAGTATTCTGAACAATTTCTTACTCTTCTCATTTCCAGATCTAGTGCTACCTTTCTGACTTGTAACTACTCATTTTTTTTCTCCTTACCAGATGACTTTAGTGTGAACTTCACTGTTGATTACTCTATGTTTGAGCCAGAGAACACAGTGGTGAGTGAAATCTACATGATCCCCTAGGAGGATCAGGATAGGTAGCAGTTAAAAAGAAACTAGACATTGTTGAAATGTAAATAATGAACAGGAATAAAAACTATTTAGGTGAAGTGAAACTAGGTAGTGAATCTGAAACAAATTTGTTAATAATAGCTGGGGATGAAGCCAGAATGCAGTAGGTTTGCTAAGACACTGAAAGGGAAGAACAGTCCTTGAGTCAAGGGAGTTGGTGAATGGGGTGGGTACATAATCCATGCAAACATGAAGTAGGAAAGCTCCCTGAATGTAAGTCTTGGATGAGGGGTTGGAGGGGAGAAGAGGTGGTGAAGTAAAAAAGAAATCTAAATAGAGAATCTATGAGGATGTTGAACGGAGGCAATGATAACTGTTTCCTAATCCTACTGAGGGCAGAACAGGTTGGATGAGAAGGTGGAAGCATCAGAGACTACCATTAGTTATGAAACAGACCGCGCTGACCATCAGAAGCCTGTAACAGAGAAACCAATGACAATGGAACCAGTGAGTGGATTGGGGATAAGTGGGGAGGGAGACAGACATCCGTTACCCTGGATGGATCCCCAGACTGGTGATGTGGAGCAGAGGGAAGCTTTGGTGGATGGGGGAACCAAATAACTAGCATTACAATGCAGATGTTCATCTCAAATTGGCCATCATTTCTTTCACTGAGATTTAATACTGTATACAGAACACAGGGAAGAGTTGGTGCAGTTAAACTTCAGTTGAATAGTATTTAATGTGTTTACATACACATACAGTCTGGTGCTCTGTCATGTCCCAACTCTTTGCGATTCCATGGACTGTAACATGCCAGGCTCCTCTGTCCATGGAATTTTCCAGGCAAGAAATACTGGAGTGGGTTGCCATTTCCTTCTCCAGGGATCTTCCTAACCCAGGGATCAAACCTGTGTCTCTTGTGTCTCTGGCATTGGCAGGCAGATTCATTACCACTTGGCCACCATGTTTTTGTAACCTATGCCTAAAGCTAAGGATGTTGATGCTAATGAAAAAGAAATCTATCATGTTATTGTCCTCAAAGTATTCATAAAACTCAAGTTTACACTTATGAAACATTTGGAACAAAATGAAAAGGTTTTCAACAGTGTTAAACTGCATACAAATTTGGCAGCATACAACAAACAAGTGCTTTAGGCGGTGGAAGGAGAGAGATTAGTACAGGTTGAAGTTGTCTGGAAGACTTTCAGAAGATGACTGTTCTTGAGATACTTCTTTGAAGAATAGGTGAGCTTTTGATTGGCAGTAAGTTATAAAAGGGTGAAAGCAATTTGGAAGAAGGTTAGTTCTTTCAAGAGTGAAAGAGCTGCACAGACAGGAGGATAGAACAAGAAGGGTATATTTAGTGGTTGAGGTATGATTGAAGGAGATGGTATATGGAAAGGAACAGTAGGAAATTAACAAATAAAATGTTCAAAGCTACATGTATTTGCTTGGTAATTTCACATATGGGAATACAGGGCCAAATTACAGAGTCTGAAGTATCAAGGTAAATTTCAGACTTATAAACAATAGGGGGCCTAGTATGTTCTCCCATGTGCTAAATGAATGATGAAAGTGGTATTTTTGAAAAATGATTTATCTGGTCATATGAAGGATGCAATGGACTGGAGAGACATTAATGAGATTTGCATCCATTAAAGGTCTGGATGAGGGAAGTGGCATTTTGTTTGTTTATTCATTCTTGGCTGTGCCAGGTCTTCATTGCTGCCAGGGCTTCTCCTTGCAGTGGCTTCCCTTGTTGCAGAGCACAAGCTCTAGGGTGAGCAGGCTTCAGTAGTTGCAGCTCCTGGGCTCCTGAGCACAGGCTCAATTGTTGTGGCCCACGGGCTTAGTTGCTCCAAGGCATGTGGGATCTTCCCGGATCAGGGATTGAACCCATGTCTCCTGCATTGACAGGTGGATTCTTTGCCACTGAGCCATCAGGGAAGCCCCAGAAGTGGCATTTTTAATGGAACGGAGAAAAATAAACACTTTGAAGAAAATGCCTTGCTCCAGTGATAATTTCATATGGGCAATAAATAAGAGGAGTTAAAATAGCTTGAGTTTTAAAACTAACTTTAAATTTTAAATATGGGCATCTGGGAAAATGGTTGACTGAAATGGGAACTGTGATCAGAGTGATCTGGGCGGGGGGGAGTTATAAATTTGGTATTGGCCAAGTTGAATTTACAGTCACAGCCTATGCTGCTGCTGCTAAGTCACTTCAGTCATGGCTGACTCTGTGCGACCCCATAGATGGCAGCCCACCAGGCTCCCCCGTCCCTGGGATTCTCCAGGCAAGAACACTGGAGTGGGTTGCCATTTCCTTCTCCAATGCATGAAAGTAAAAAGTGAAAGTGAAGTCGCTCAGTCGTGTCCTACTCTTAGCGACCCCATGGACTGCAGCCTACCAGGCTCCTCTGTCCACGGGATTCTCCAGGCAAGAGTACTGGAGTGGGGTGCCGTTACCTTCTCTGCACAGCCTATGAGGGTGTCCTAAAGGTAGCTGAATTAAGTCCATGCTCCAGTTCTAAGTGCAAAGTTACGAATGCAGACAAGCTCAGTAGATCTAGTATTTACAGAATACGGAAAGGCCAATAACCATGCCTTTAGTTAGTAGGAGAGGAATTAACCAAGGAAAAGGAAACAAATTGATTGGAGAGGTAGGTAGATAGCCAAATTTGTATTATAGAGTCTAGAAGAGAAAGTTTAATATAATCAGTGAAAAGCTACCAATAGCCCAAGGAGAAGGAGGTCATTGATAACTACAGAGAAAGCAGTTTCAATTGAGTGGTTGTACCACAAGCTACTTCCTGTGGCATTAGAAAGAGAATACATTGTGAGGAAGTGGAGGGAGAGGATAAACCAACTATCTGAGAAACCTGGTAATGAAAAAAGCAGCAGAGGACTTCCTTGAAAGTCCAGTATTTAAGACTCTATGCTTCCAATGCAGGGGCATGGGTTCAATCCATGGCTGGGGAACTAAGATCCCCCATGCCACGAGGTGCGGCCAAAGAGAGAGAGAGAGGAGCAACAGCTAGAAAGGGCCAAAGTGCAGAACCAAAGTGCAGTCTGAATATAGTTGAACATAGATGGGAGGGATCAGTAGGAATGGAAAGCTGATGACTAACAAGGACAGATAAATATTTTAAAGTATATGGTAGGCTCCCTTTCAGAGAAGGAAATGGCAACCCACCCCAGTATTCCTGCTTGAAGAATCCTGTGGACAGAGGAGCCTGGTGGGTTGCCGTCTATGGGGTCGCAGAGTCGGACAGAACTGAAGCGACTTAGCATGCATGTATGCATTGGAGAAGGAAATGGCAACCCACTCCAGTATTCTTGCCTGGAGAATCCCAGGGATGGAGGAGCCTGGTGGGCTGCTACCTATGGGGTCACAGAGTCGGACATGACTGAAGCGACTTAGCAGCAGCAGCAGACTCCCTTTAGCTTGTAAACTCTGTGAGGGTAGGACCAATGTCTTAATCATATTTATATCCCCCTATGTGGGCTTTCCCAGCTTCCCTGATGGCTCAGAGGTTAAAGCACCTGCCTCCAATGCGGGAGACCTGGGTTCCATCCCTGGGTTGGGAAGATCTCCTGGAGAAGGAAATGGCAACCCACTCCAGTATTCTTGCCTGGAGAATCCCAGGGACAGAGGAGCCTGGTGGGCTACAGTCCATGGGATCGCAGAGTCGGACACGACTGACTGACTTCACTTTACTCTCACTTTCATGCGGGCTTCCCCAGTGGCTCAGGGTTAAAGAATCTGCCTGCAGTGCAGGAGCCACAGGAGACCCAGGCTCGATCCCTGGGACAGGAAGATCCCCTGCAGAAGGGCACAGCAACCCATTCCAGTATTCTTGCCTGGAAAATCCCATGGACAGAAGAGCCTGGTGGGCTACAGTTCATAGGGTCTCAAAGAGTCAGACACAACTGAAGCGACACACGGCACTTGTGCCTGAACCTAGTGCCTCAGACAGTAAAGAATCTGCCTGCAATGCAGGAGACCCGTGTTCAATCCCTGGGTCAGGAAGATCCCATGGCGAAGGGAATGATTATCCACTCCAGTATTCTTGGAAATTCCCCAGACAGAGGAGCTTGGCAGGCTCTAGTCGATGGGGTTGCATAGAGTCGGACACGACTGAGTGACTAATATGGCACCTATTACAGTGACTAGCACAGTGTCACATGCATAGGTTAAAAAACAAAAAACATGTCACTGAATTGAGTCAGGCCTCTCTAGTATGGTCAGGAATGGCTGAAAGGCACAGAGGAAAGGACTTCTTATAGTGATGGGGAGGAGGGCTGGATCTTTCTCTAAGCTCAGAAGAAAGAAGACAGAGGTTGGCATAAAGAGATGGTTATCTTTCCAGAGTGGGAGCTGGGTGGTAGGAGGATGATACTAGCCTACTGTGAGGGGATGTCTGTATTTTAGCAGAGTCCAGATCTGAATGATGCTGTATCCCGTCTGCAGAGTTCTGGTTCACTCCTTCTGTTCTGGGCCCTCGTTCGGGGGGGGATTTATCTCCTGTAAAAGGTAAGAGTGCAGCCACTGGCCTTGGGGGAGTTTTGAAGTTTTACCAGTATCTCCAGCTAGTGTTCCCAGCTTGGTCAATTCTCAGCTGCTTAAAGGAAGAGGGGTCACATTTAGAAAAAGCTTATCTAACTTCAAGGAGGTTTAGGAGATGTTGAGGCAAAGGCCTTTGTCATAAGAGTCATTACTTTTTCTGAACTGGGATGATTTCAGGACCACCTAGAGCAGAAGCAGGTGGAAGGGACAAGAAACTTCTCCAGGTTTTCAGTCTGCCTTGAGAAATCAGAGCTGGTTTCAGCCTGGACTGGTTTAAGGTTCTGCAGGTGCCAGAGGGCAAAATGGGAGGGGCCCTGCAACCTGACAGAGTTGAGAGGCTGAAGTTCAGAAGTGGGGGCATGAATGGTTCTCTAATGTAGGGGAGAGACAGTGGGGGAAAGGAAGAGGGAAGAGAAACTTGAATTATAAGGAAGGAATTTAAGTTGGTAACCACAGTAAGAGGCACGAAGAAGTTTAGCAGAAGGAAGGAATGAAGGAGGGGACACATCTAATAGATGTCATGAAGAAATCTAGCTCAAAACATAAAATCCGGGCAGTTTCCATAGAGGTGGGAGAGCCTGAAAGGCTTCCTGAGTCCCCTGACCCTGAATTTCCGCAAACCACCTCCTCCGCACTTTGTTTTTTAGGAGAAGGAAGACTCCTTGATGGGGATCTGGGAAGAGGACAGTGGAAGATTAAATAAATAAATGAAGTAATCTGGTTACTCTCTACTCCTTTATGAGGGCCAGTTCTAAAGCCACAACACTGAAGAGAACACCAGGATATGTGGGAAGGGTGGATTACAAACGGAGTTAGGCAACAGTAGATTTAGAGGGAATTATTAGGACCATGGGGAGGGGGGTGGAACTGAAATTTTGGGAAGAACAGAGAAAAGCACCCACAAACAGGTTTATTCACAGTCTATAATTCCCTCTAATTCTACCATTTTACCTTATCATATACAGTACTGAAACAATATGCTTGGAGAAAGTTGAAGTAGAACCCTTTTATCCTTTTTATAAAATGAGCACGTTGTTAATTAAGCAAACGTAAACCATCAAAAGCTACTTAGAATAGATTTCAAAAATTCACACCCTCTTCTACTTACTCTCCACACCCCTACCCACCCCCCCCCCAACGCCCGCCTCTAAATATGTACCATTTTCAGTTAGTAATTAGGGCATGCAAGGACAAACTTAAAAAAATTTTTTTTCTCCCTTTATCCTTGCGACCCTAATCAGAACTAGGCTGCCCCCTTGCGGTCTCTTCAATGTTAAAACTTTAATCAGCCCACAGTCCCCGAGCCCCGTCCCCTTCTCTCCACAGTGCTCTCAACACCGCGAGGGGAGTTCCCTGGTTGCTTAGTGGTTAGAACTCCGAGCTTTCGCTGCTGTTGCCCGGGTTCAGCCCCTGGCTGGGGAACTGAGATCCTGCAAGCCTCCCGGTGGTGCAGCAAAGAAGAAAAAAAAAAAAAGCTGCAAGGGGCGGTGAATAGTAAACTCCGGACTTTGCCACCCTCCCTTCTTCAAATCTTCTCCAGAGGACCAATGAAGAAACAAAAGCTAAACAAAGGCATAATTTAGGAAATCACAGACCTACCCGCCTCCCCATTCCTTGTGCTAAGTAAAATGGAATTAAGGGTACAGGGCCTGAGGAACCCGGGTAGAAGTCAGGAACAACCCGGCTGGGTTTTGACCTCTAGATTGATGGCGGGCTGGCACCTGAGCTGGTAACGTGCGCGGCGGGTTATGTAAGCAAAGGGCTGGAGGAGCCGCCCCAGTGGGAGCCGGGGAGAGGACGCGGTGTTCTCGGCAGCAGTCCCCACCCTCTTCACCCAAGAGGGCAGGAGGCACCCAACTTGTAGGATAAGGAGGAGGGGAAAGTGAAACAGAGACCCGGGAGTCACGAGGGCTGGGCCGCGGCGGGCGGGGGGGAGGGGGGGAGGATACACTGGGGCACACGTCCATGTTCTCACACACGTTGCAGACGCAAGTCGCTGACGGGTTCCACGTGCTGCACTTGTGAGCGGAGGCGCTGAAAGAGGGGGCACAGGGGTCGGTTACCAAGGAAGAACCAAGAGTCCCACACCGCAAGGCTCACACCTCAGGTCACACTACTAGTCTGCACAGTCCAGCCGCGCGGCTTCACGCACCACCATCCTATTTAAGGCCACGGGCTCCGCCCTTTTTCTCCCCTCCCTTCTTTTCCACTCTTTTTCCATCCTCCTCCTTTTCTCATCACCGGGTCCTCCTTGCTAGCCGCATGTAGGGGCGGAGCACAGAATGCTTACCATCCAACCAATCGTCCCCTAACAGCCGCCTTATTGGCCGAACCCTTGTATGCTGTAGCAAATGGGATGTGAACTTCAGTAACGAGAGTCACGTGTCACCGGCTACACAACCAATGAGGCTGCGAGGTCTGTGTAAGCAGGGGGAAGGCACGTGCGGAGCTGCACGTGTCCCGGAGGGGGAAGGGGCGGGACCCAGTGGGAGGGAGCCGGAGGTGGGTAGCCGAGACTCCAGAGTCTGAGTAGGAGCTGCAGACAGCCTGGGCTGAGCCGACTGACACAGGTGAGGAGATTCAGACGCCAGGGAGCGATCCGTGCGGGAGGATCAGACCCGGGGGGAGTGGGCTTACGGACTCGTTACAGATAATGGTATTGCAAGGATTCGCATCACGTGGCAGGTGCGACTGGGAATGGTCCGGCGCAGGGATGGCGATCAGAAAGGTTGGGAAGAGGCGGGAGTTTCCTACAGGGTCCCTAGGTGGGTTCAAGTGCAGCAGATTTCCGGCTTGCTGGTGTAGTGAGCTCAGGTAGAGAGGCTTGCTACGGGTCAGGATGAGACCAGAAAGGCGAACCGGACAAAGGGGTCATATCATGTCATTTACTCTGAAATGAGGAAGAACGAACAGTCTGTGTCAGGCTAAGAGCTGCTCTGCAGCGGGCACAAAGGCAATCCAGGTTCTTAATGGAGTGGGGGAGGCGGGGAAGATGACTTTTTCTATTGTGCCCGAGCCAGGATTAATACTGGGAAGGGAGAGAAGAGATGTTATTGTCGTATACAGTACACCCCAGTCTCTCAGTCCATTTCCCAATCCTCAGATTCTGGTTTCAGACCCCCTCGCTTTGCTCTTCAGTTGCAGGTCCAGATCTTTGGGTACTCCGCGAGCTGCTCTCCAGACCCTGCTTCTGAACCTATGGATTCTCCATCTAGCGTTTCTTCCTATTCTTCCTACTCTCTTTCTTCCTCTTTTTCCACCTCCCCAGTGAACAGTGACTTTGGCTCCCCCTCCGATAGTGAGGGGGAGGACAAGTGGGCTCATGGCCCCAAGCCAGACACTGTTGGGCAGAAGGAAGGTTCTCGGCCCAGCCCTGGTCCTATCCGCTGCAGGCAACGACCCAAGGTTTCCAGTAACCAACATGTAGCATCTCACTCGGAACAGCGGGGCTTGGCTGCTTCTATGTCAGGATCTGGGGTCAAAAGATCAAGAGATGGTGAATTGGAGACCTGTATAAACATCCAGGGTTGTACCACAGAAGGAGACCTGCTCTTTGCTCAGAAGGTAAGAGAAAGCTGGGAAAGTGAGAGGGGACCAGAATGGTTTAGTATTCATTTGGTTGATAAGGACCCCACAAGGAGCGTATTGGCTCCCAGGTTGGATGGAAAAATAAGTACTGGTGTGGGCAATTCTTGGTCTTCTCATACCATTTGTCCTGTTTTCCTATAGTGTAAAGAGCTCCAAGGATTCATACCCCCTCTCACAGACCTACTGAAGGGGCTGAAGATGGGTCGATTTGAGAGAGGTAATTATCTAATTAGTTGCATTCATTTGAGCTAGGTTCATATCTGTCTCTCTCTCTCTCCACGTATGTTTTAAATGTGTATTTCTCTTAAGTCTTTGGGGCCTAGATGATTCCCGTTTTCTCCTGTGACAATTTCCTTAGGTGAATCGATTTTAACTCCCTTCTGTCTTTCCTTTTGCTGACTAAATTCTTGAATCTCAATCCTTTATCTCACCTTCTTTCTCCTAACCCCAGGATTGAGCACTTTCCAGCAGAGTGTGGCAATGGACAGGATCCAGCGCATCTTAGGAGTTTTGAAGAAGCCACAGATGGGGTAAGTCCCCTTTGCTTCTTTTCTCTTCTTCATAAAGTGCTATTTCCAGTCCTGTTCTGTTGCTTTTTTCACACCTAATGGCCTTTTATTTTTTACTTTCCCTCACAGAGAGCGTTATCTAGGAACTCTCTTACAGGTGGAAGGAATGTTAAAGACTTGGTTTCCTCATATAGCTGCCCAGAAGTCATCACTGGGTAGCAGCAGGCACCAACTGACCAAGGTGAGAACTTATTATCTGAGGAAAAGTTGGGGAAATAACCAAAGGAATGAAGTGTACGTACAGAAAGGGGCTCCCTCTCCCATTTTCTTCTGGGTCTTTTCATCTTTTCAATAAGTTTCTTTTCAAGGAAGAGAATGCCTAGATTCCTTCATAGTCTGATTTCTAGATGTTGTTTGTTTCCATTTTGTTTGGGTCATTTCTAAGAACTCTATGGAGTTTAACCCCATACCGCATCTTGTAGCTTATCTTTCTGAATAGATACAGAAGACTTTTTACCTGGCCAAATGAATCATGCAAGAAGATCCCACAGCTTGTCTATGAAAATCTTTTCTCCTCTGCTGCCCCTAAACCGCTTTTCCTCTCCTTTTTACTCCCATCCAAGGATCCTTGTATCACTCTGGAAGCATAGGTTTTGAGGAATGGTCGCAGTTCTTAAGGAACTCAACATAGAAAATTAGACCTTAAAATACAGAAACTGGAAAATGATGATTCCAATTAAAAACTTTAGAAAGACATTCTAAAACAAATATGTTTATAAAGAGTGAAAATTTGTGAGACTGTTTTATTTGGTATATGTCTGAATTGTTGTTTAGTTGGTAAGTCATGTCTGGACTATAGCCGGCCAA